GAACGGCTCTACCAAGCTACCAAGTACGTTGCTCCCACCCCCTTTCCTGAAGTTTGTTCAGTGGGCGCCAAATTAGCGCTGAAACTTCAGTTATTTTCAATGCACACCTTTTTGGACATGGAATTTTAGCACACTAATTACGGAATGTAAATTTTAATTGTCGGCCGTTTGGTGTAGTGGTTCAGAACGGACTACTATGCCGAGAGGTCCCGGGTTCGATTCCCGGCCGGGCTGAAATTGAAATGATGAATTTTAATTTCTGCGACGGGTCTGGGTGTTACTATGATATGATTTAAAAAAAAAAAGGTTATTTGTAGTATATCCGTTAAGCTAGCACCCATAACACAAGCATATTAATTGCTTACTTTGGGGCTAGATGGCGCTGTGTGAGATTGTCCAAAGATATTTATTTATTTATTTATATTTAATTTACGCTACTTTTCGAAGTAAATTAAAAAAAAGGTTTTCCTGCACTTTTGCACAAGTTAATTTTGGTTCCTGAAAAAACAAGATGAACCTACAATTAGACTACTTTAAAACGCTGTCTTTTCTTATTGTTTATTTATCTTTTCTTTTACCAGCAAAGTAACATTCCAATAGTGAAGCAAGTATTCGAGATATTACATTACCCCTAAAAGTTAAAATTAAATTATCCTCAAATTGAATGTTTGCCAAGTCAACCAAGCTATAGCTTAAAATATCCAATATTTTAGTTACGTAACTAAGCAAGTAACCTACTTCATAGCTCGATACTATCACGGCTACATTCCACCCTTTGTTGACTCTGTCCTGACCCCATCCATCTTCATCAGACCAATGTACTTGGAGCCATGTCTTAGCTTCTAACTAAAGAGTTGGCAAACGAAAACGCAGCGCCAGAGGTCTGCAAGTTCTGGGCATGATGGATCAGGAAAACCGCATGTCAACCGTGTAATTAAGTCTTGAGTCCTTTGAAAGTAAACCTTATTGTGGAGTGATGATGTACCGCTTTTCAGGTAGAGTGATAAAGTCAAGTTAATGAGAAAGTGTTAGTCTTTGAGACTTGATTATTTGTGTAATCTTTATCACTAATGACGTGATAGATGCAAATGTTGTCATATTAACATCCGAAGGTAGTTTTAGTTAAAGTATCGTGTAAACATTTAGGCAAAACTAAACTAAAGGAACATTAAACTTAAAAATAAGCCAGATGATAGGTTATTAATGTAAAAATCTTCTTACCTCCAAATACCGAGATTTTATCTTATTAAGCGAAGTTGAAGATGCGATAAGTACTGCGCAAGTCGTTATAAATAAAGTCTATTTGTACCTACTTACTCGTACCTATGCTATTTCACAACATCTAACCCACAAAAATGCCTTAAAATTAATTATTTCAAAATGTAAAGAAACACATGACAACAAATTGTTGGAACTTACGTCATTACTTGCGTTTGAAAATGTATAAGATTTTACAGAAAATCTAAGCCTTTTCAGGGGTCTTTCGGATGGAGCACCTACTTTGAAACGTGCGACAACCATTCAGCCATTCACGGATTGCTGCTGAAAATACATTTTCCTCTCACAAAGAATTGCGGGACTTCAGTGCGGAAATTCTTTGAAATATTTTAATCCTATCTTATATCGTTTCGGTTACAAAGAAAGAATTGTATTGTTACTGCTTTTAGTACTTTTTCGGTCTTTCATTCGCGAATTTATGACTGTATTTTCAAACGAAATACATCAAATGGCTCTTATAATTACACAAAAATTCAACGATTCCCTAAAGCATCGAGGGGTATAAGTTTGTTATTTGTTAGCGAAATATGTACCATTTGAACCATTAACATCCTTTAAAGTACATTTCTGTTCTGATCAGACAATAAGTGATGGTGTTTATGTAGTAGGTAGTATATACCGGAATCAATTGCTTCTCTACCTCAGGGGACTAACTCCGGAGCAAGCGCTGACTCAGCGAACGCTTATTACACGCACACGATGCTGATACTGTATCTAAATAACTGGAAGGTACTATGGATTTATTTTATTCGAATTGGCCGCGAGTTTAAAAATATAATTAAAGAAAGGAACTAAGTTTGCAGGGTTTGACTCTGGTTTGGGCGACCATATACCCTCTTGAACCTGATCCCTAAGTATGGCGTGCGGAGCATTATTTTCAAGTAGATATCGCTCACCGGGCATACGTCATTTTGTTGATAGATAAATCACTAGTTTGAAATTCAGGAAAGTCAAATTTATGAATAACTTTGTCATGTGAGATTCATATTTTTCATGTTTTAAAGTTTCAATCGAGAAAGTAAGTAGGTAAATTTGAAACTTGAACACTTTCTTCTTCACGTTGGATCAAATAAAACAACGAATTTCTTCTTTAGATATTCGTTTTACATCGGAAGTTACTATTGTCGTATCTAGAGATCCGATTGTCTTCGCTAAGGGCCCAGGGATCCCATTTCGCAGTCAAAGTGCGCGCCAAAGACAAATGGGATTCGTGACTGTGCTCACGGCTATTGCTATCGTTTAGGCTGCTACTTCTGCTACTAATTACTTGATTGTTTATACAAAAACTTGGAAGAGAAACTCCAAATGTTCTCTCGAGTTTTCCCGATTTTGTTCCTAATGAACGTTATGAACGAAATGAAGGTTTCCTGTGATTCCATATTTTTTAGATATTTTGTCTTTGCATTAAGGGAGTCATTTGAGTGTCCACTGCAGGAACACGACCCTCTCTAGTTTACCAGAGGCAATTTTAGGATTTGGCTTATCTTTATCTATCCCATGCTATCCCACGCTGGCCGATGGGTTGGGAAGTGGGAAGTGCATAGAATCTTATTTTTATCGAATACAAACCAGACACTTTTATTACAACTTCATAATTTTAATATGATCATATCATACAGTCGAATCGTCTCGCAACGCCTGGTGTCAATCTACCAGCAAAAATTCTCAATCTGCGAATTGCGGTGGTGAATTTAAAAGTTGGTACAGAACCACATCCGACTATTAACCCTCCGTGTACGAGGTGACTAAAAGTTACGTCCCGTACCAGGTGGGGTATGACACACCCCAATATACAAAGTGATAAAATTTTCATTCAACGTTTTTTTAGGAGGAATTTAATATTAATATTGATTATTTACGTATGCTAATTAGGTTTAAGAAATGCTCTGAGCTGAAAATATGTATTATAATATTTTTATCATAAAAAAACAAAAAGACACAATTTCCGTTGTTCTTGTAATTTAGGAATCAGTTTCCTATGTATAATTTTTAATTAGTGCCTTTAATTATGACAACCGTTTTTATTTAACAAAGTACAAGTATTTACTTATAATTTAAAAGTAAATTAAAAACTGGAAGGGTATAAATTTGTTTTGATCATCGGTTTTCAATTTACCACAATTCTGATGAAAGAAAATGAGTATACTCAATGCATAAAATGGGAGCGTAACAATTTTATTTATTTATAAAATATGTTATTCCATTTCAGTAGCCCATAAATTGTATCACCAAGTATAAATTGTAGCCCATAAGTGTATGTTCACATACATCTTCGGATCTCAGTACTAAACTTCCAGATTCGCACTAAAAGTCATCTCATTTGACTAAAAGTGCTTGAAAATTTCAGATACCGTAAAAATCACGAAAAATAATATTTGTATTGAATTTTATTCAATTGACAAAGCTAAAAATATATAAATTACACCAAAACTGTTAGATTTTTTTTTTAACTTTTTAACAACGTCCCGTACCAGGTGGGGTGTGTGACACCCACACGCACTTTAAAGGCATGTAACTCAGTTGGTAGTCACCGCTGGACTGATTTTGCAACGCTGATCGAAGCAGCAGTGTCATAATTCCAGCTACTGAGAATTTCAAATTCAGTACTTGCAAATTTTTTAAATTGTGGCTATTTTTAAAGGACTGGGGTGTGTCACACCCCACCTCGTACAGCGAGGGTTAAAAGAAACTATACCTACCTACTTCAATTATAAAACTCTAGAAGTAATCTTGTATCTGTCTGATCGTTTTGATGAATAAATTAAAAAGTGATAAGATAAAATCATGTAATGTGATTGTGAAGTGATAAGAATTTATGCATTCGAGTAGGTAGGTACGAGTATAACTCATGCTTGGTTAGTTTTTTTAAACTAACCACATACCTATTCAAGTCCAAATCCAAATTCAAACTGATTCCATAAGCCTGAAGGATTATTTTGGGCCCTCATTAACGCGCGGCCCGTTACAAATTTAATAATGGCGGACAAACTCTCAACTTTTATGGGCACTTCCACAAATGAGATTACTTGGGTTGGATATCAAATTAAGTAAATAACGTATCTTTTGGACCCATTTGGTAAATCCGGCGGTAATCGTCAACATGGTCACTTAGTAGGTGATACAGGACCTACATAATAATATATAATTATGTATTGTCATGTTTTATTAATACGCGAAGGTACATGACACCACTGTTAAGTCTTAATATGTACTTAATTGTAATATGAGTAGGATAGATTTTCCAACAAAATGTAGAGCCTGATGTGTAGGGACACGGTATCGAATAGAAAGTATCGATACTGTACTCATGAGTAGTATCGATAAAAAAGTATCGTACTCGTAAAAGAATCGACACAAAAGTATCGATACCTCAAAGTATCGAGTTCTTTTCTCAGGCAGGGCCTACGCCATACGTTAGTTTGTCAATGTTAGTCAGTTCAGTAAGTATCGTCTGTACCTTCATTCATACAGTAAGAGAAAATGAAAAAGTAACAAATGGTACATATATAATTATAAGGGCTGATTTTTCCATCGTCTGATAACACTTAACAGACCAATAAAGTGTAATATGATTAAAAGTAAGTGTCACTTTATGTTATGCATTTATTATAAATATGAAGGTGTAGACAACTTTGATTCGCTGAGTTATACTTTATTGGTTTGTTAACTTATACCTTACGATGGATAAATCAGCCCTAAGATAAATAAAAACAACCTGTAAGTAAAGCCACAATTTTTTAATCTAAAATATTATAAATCCCATTCCTCCTCGGTACAATCGCTCAAGAAAAGAAGTTTGTCGAGCCTTTTTGGCGATAGGCGGTTACGGGTTTTAGTAATTGTACTTCCAGCTTTCGAAAACAATCTTTCTGAGGGCACTGAAGTCGCAGGAATCGATAAAAATTCTCGTGCCAATTTATATAATTTTGGGAAAACAACTTTCATGTCTTCCCATTGTTTCAGAGGATCCAAAGAGAGTGGCGAAACCTGTGTAGATAAATAATGGCTTATTTCATCCTTATTTTCAAACTGTGATGAAGCACTGGTTTTACTTCGCTTTTTCGTGTGAGCTAATTTCTTGTGGTGACTCCAAAAATCGTAAGTTGTTTCAAGAGAGGAATCGCTGTCATGATCGCTGCCGATAACACTAGGAGACGTTGTTATATATCTTCTCAGTGAAGAAATTGCCTTTGCACAAGCTTTAGCGTCCTGAAAATGGATATTCTTGAATCTCGGATCTAGCAAACATGACATTGCAATCAAATAATTACCTTCAATATGTCCGAATCGGCGTTCTATCTGTTTTAGGATTTCTTTTTTTACTGTATCTATTACCTTTCCATGGGGATCATCACCATCACCTACAGCCATAGGTATAGTATTAATCTGCGTCTTCAAACAGTTCACCATCGGAATTATTTTACTAATGGTTACATACTGTTCACCTGATAACTCTTTGGTTACATACTCCAGCGGTTTCAAAATACAAATCAATGTTTTAATATTTTGCATTTCTACAGCCGATGGTGTGGGTGGTGCTTTTGTATTTAACATCAAAATTTGATGAACTATTGGTGCTAATTCAATGTATCTCTGTAGCATATAATAGACGGAATTCCACCGAGTCTTCACGTCTAAAATCAGTTTGAGAGGTTGAGACCCAGTTTGCTTTTGACGTAAAGAGTCACTGAGGATTACACTGCTCTTGAAAAATTTTACAATGTCTCGTACCTTGCTTACTAATGCTCCTAAATCATTGACTGACATGGCAGATTCAGCAATTAGATTAATTGTATGAGCAAAGCAAGGTAAATGTTTGTTCTTTTCTAGAAAATTTGCTATGCCGGCTATCATGTTCGAGCCATTGTCTGTAACTACTGCAGTTATTTTATCCAAACTGATGTGTATACCTGCACAAATTTCTTTTAATTTTTCAGCGATAAAATCACCAGTATGACGCTGATCCAGTGCAACGGTAGCTATGCAACGTGACACCAGTTTGTCTTCTTGCAAATAATGAGCAGTAACCCCTAAATAACTGGTAACAGTCATCATCTCACTCCAAATATCGCAGGTTAATGCCACGTGATCTACATTGTCAAATATATTTTCTATTTTCAAACGCATTACACTATAAAAGTGTTCGAATTGTGCTTTAAGGGTATCTACATGAGGAATTTTAAATGATGGACATGCTTGATGCATCAATTTTTTAAACCCACGCCCTTTCACAATGTCAAACGGTCTTTTATCAACGCAAATAAAATAAAGCAAACATTTGCAGAGTTTCAAATAATCTTTTCCTCCATCCAAATAAGAGTATTTTCGTTCCATTGATTGTACAATTGAAAGTTGCCTTTTTTTTGGAGGTGGTGCATAGGTTTCTTCTAACTCACCATCACCACTGATTACTATTGGAATTCTCTCGACATCAGATGGTGAAGGAGTTGTTAGCAATGCATCTGATTCAGGTGCTTTCGATGTACTTGTTGATGGTTGGGGTTCGTGATCACGACTCGTTAAATTCGACAGTTCTAACTTTTTCTGAATCGTCGACATCGTCGTTTGTTTTTTATCTCCTTTTACACTAAAAAGAATAATATAAAATAATCAGTTTCGTGCGCCTATTAAATGACTACAAAACAAATTTTAGGTTATATAAATAAGGACCATATAATCATTAAAAAAAATTACCTTGAGGCATCAGAATTAGGGTGTTTCTTTAAATGTTTATTCATGTTTGACGTATTCCCTGACGATTTTAAAGTTTTGAAACAAATCTTACATTTCACCTCATCTTTGTTAATCTTGACGAAATACTGCCAAACGTCACTCTTGGTAGGCGGCATTCTTTGGATATTGCACTGATTCAAATCCCGATACAAACACAGAATAATTGTGAGTGCTGTTCTGAATAGGTTGAAATATCAATAAGTCAATTATCATTTATCAATAATGCAAGAAAATCATTAAATATCAACATGTTATAAATAACAACCAACTGTCAGTTAACAACAACGAACGAATGAACCAGAGTTTTTTTTGTATGATTTTTTCGTGAGGTTAGGCAAAGGGATCTAAGTCCATACAGCTACAGTACAGCCAATGAACCATAGACTAATTAAACAAATGAAATGTGAATCCGGCAACCTACCGGCAACGGAACTATCTCTATGAATGAAAGCTTCAGCAAGATTGAACAAGATGGCGTTGCAAATGTTGCCATAAATTATGAATAAATAAAAAAACAAGTAATTTATTCGATACGATATCTGTCAAAAGTACTTGGTAAGTAAAAGTATCGAATACAAGTTATCGAGTACAAAAGTATCGGTATCGAAAAGAAACCTACTCGATACCATAAAGTATCGATACTTTTTTCGTGTCCCTACTGATGTGACGTCGAATATACTTAACAAATGCCATAGTTTCATCAGAACTCGTAATGACTGGATTAAAGTAAGGTTAAGGATATTGTCTAGAGCTGCCTTTACCTTAGCAAGTTTCTCGATATCAAAGGTAACTCAGCTTTGATTTATTGTGAAACTTGACTTTTACCCAAAACTACAGCTCAACCCTATCCAGAGAGTACAAAGAAGAATGACAGCGCTACGTTTTCCATGACGCAGTTTATGTCAAAACATGGTATAAAACCCATTAGTATTTATCCACTCAATAATGAATCTTTTACAATAATTTGTTACTGTATTTTCTGTACAATACAAAGGTGACAAGTAAACGCTAATTGTTTTACCTATAAAGTGAATAAGTTTTACCCATTCAAGTTAGTTGCAACAACTTGAACAAATTGTTAATTTGTTATTCCACTTAACTGCGTATTTGGTATTCAATAATCATAACATTTTATACTTATTAATAATCCTTGTAGTTAATTTAATTTCAAACAAACAAATATTCCAGCAACTATCTTTATTTTATTGAGGTATTTCAAAGCCTCTCGTAAATTAAAATTGTAGTGTAGGTACTAAGTAGGTACCTAGTTAAAAACTGTACAAAAATTCCAATTACTCTTTTCGTTTCTGGGTTAGGATTCCCAAACTTTGTCAAGTTTAAGTGCTACCAGTTATGATTAATTGCTTTTGGAAATACAAAACTTGGCACTATTAATGACATAATAAAAGACGGTCATGGATAAGCTTACAAACTCGTGTTGAGTAGCCTTATCTGACATGAGTGCTAGAGACAGAAGTTTCCCTCGTCACAGCGATAACTAGGAATGTCATCTACATACAAAATGTATGGACCTAAAGGGTTACGATAGACAATAGATTTTTAACAAAGGTTTGTACAATATGTGACATGAAAGGATAATATTAGGAGATATAGGACAAATCTGATGAAAAAGAACAACAATCTTTCAGTCATTAATTAAAAGTTACAGAACTGGCTCTACATTATACATATTAAATAATTAATAGTATCAGGAATTACTTTGCGGAAATCTTAAGCTAAGTAATTTTATCTATTTTAATATCTTAAAGGTATGTATAATGTATATGTGTCAGCTAAAATCAAGGGCACAGAGAGAATGCTATATCAAGTAGTTTATTTATGGGCGATTCTCTGTAAGCTCGTAATCGGCTGTCCCGGCCGATTTTTTCAAAAAGTAATTAAAATATTAAAAAAAAAACACACTCCTAATGAAACTTTAACCCCGGAACTTTACCGGCCCGTTGTTTTTAGAACCATAACAATTTTAGGTTTTTTTCTAGACGCGATTGAAGCCCGAAAAATACAGTCCCCTGGCTGTCCCCATCACTGCATTTCCGCCTAGAAATGAGATTTACGAAAAAGATATTGAAACTACATACATCTGGCAGCTCATAGCATAAAGAATAATAATGAAATTATATTATTTTCGTAAAACAAGCTCTCATTGCGAATTTTATTTATTTTGTAAACTCCTGTAAACTTTGTCCCCAGAATTTTAATACAGTCCCCTGCCAAAAATTTAAATTCAAAATATAAAAAAACTATAATAGTTACGATGTTTTTTTTGAGTGAAACGAAACGCAATTGCTATAAAGTAGGCAACCTTGCCGAATGCGGCGTTGAGATGCCTTTTTGTTAAGTGTCAGAGCGTCATTTGTGAGGTGAACACGCGCTTGAATCGCTACCACACACAGTCCTCTGGTAAGTCATAATATTTATGTTAATTACTTTAATAATCTCTAAATAAAGTATATTGATATAATATTTATGTCTCAATTGATCGGTAGATTCTTAAAACACTATTTAATATCATTTTCGTAAATATTGTGAAATTTAACCGAAATACACAGTACCCTGGCAACAGTCCTCTGCCTGAAATTACAGTAGGGCACTGTTTTTCACAACAAGGGGCTGTATGTTTTGCGTATTGGTTATTGTTTTTATGTATTGTTTGTGTAAGTTGATCCGCTAATCTGTTTTATTAATGTAAGCCATATCAGTGATGACTTCGCAAGATCTCTATTGTCCTTTACAAAGTTAAATTATTTTACACAGGTTGATCGAACGCACGTGATAATTATAGTTCCTAAAATAAAAAACTTAGAGATAGTTAAAGAAAGAGGAATTACTACAGAAAAAGAGAGAAGCAGAGCAATTACATTACCAAAGAAGAAAAAATAACCCTCAAAATACAGAAGAAATGAGAGAAAAGGAGAAGTTGAAGTACCAAAAGAAAAAAAAACGGTTTCCGAAAGCTAGTAAAGGATATGACCCCTCGTGAAGTCGTGAGCACAGAGCTGCCTTAAAGAAGTGGAAAGACCGAGCCAAAAGACTAAGACTGAAAAGCATCACTAAATACCTTTGTACAAGAAAATACGCTGTTACGATACGCCTGTCCAGTTCCAGTTCAAATAATATCTCCAGCATGACTATGTGCATCAGGTCGCAGGTGTTTATTCCTGGTCCATCCTCGGCTTTCCAAATAAATGTAAAACACTAACAATGAGGCAGCAAGGTTATAGAGTAGAGGCCATGTATTGGAAAACGCAGCGAGGGACGTCCACCCACAAGGTGGACCGACGACCTCATAAAGGTAGCAGGAAGGCGCTGGATGCAGGCCGCTACCAACTGTGCGATGTGGAAGTCTTTGGGGAATGCCTATGTTCAGCAGTGGACGTTCTGTGGCTGAAATGATGACTTACAATGAAAAGTTTCAGCTGCTTTTGCAACAGTGGTTCTTGTGAGCATTATAACGGAAGATCTTGAATCTGCTGAACCTGAATTGACCACAAATTCCCCTCAAAGATTTGATGATGATATAGCAGGAACGGGTGGTACTCGGAATTCAGTGCCTCAGAGGTAAAGATTAATTTTTGATAATATGTTTAAGGAAAGTTGTTATTTCTGTTAATTTTTTATAAAGAAATTTTGTTTACTATTGATTTGCTATAAAATAATAAACAATTGATTAATTTAAAATGAGTTTTTCTTAAAGTATAACAGTCCTCTGTCTCACTTAACAGTCCCCTGTCATGATTTCTTGAAAAATCGCTAATAACTCGGAAAATATTAATAATTTCAGTGGGACTCCTTATCTAACTAAAATAATAGTCAATTTCCTTTGAAATGGAACACGGTTTTTTGGAAAATGTTAAAAATAATTGCCAGGACAGCATTTGTATGGGACCTGTACGAGCTTACAGAGAAATGCCCTTATGTATTTTAGCTGTCAGTTTTAATTAGTTTCAAATGCAAGCTATTTCCGCATGCTGAAATCTACCATGGTGTATTGCATGATTTCTCTCACTAAATTTGTTTGTAATCAAACAGGTTTTACTCAATTCAATCACTTCTGTTATGTATTTATCACTGATATTGCCTCCCCAGCAAGAGGAGGGGAGGCCACAAATCAATCACCCCCAACAGTTAGTGCTCGGAATCAAATTAATAGGAGCCCTGTTGATTGCTACAGTGTAAGAGCTTTTTAAGCTTTACAACCGACGCGTTCCACTGATCACGGAAGTTTACCGACGACTTTACACTTATTGATGATCATTGGATACAGGAATTAAGACTTTCAATGGAATTAAGATAAATTAATATCGTCGACACTGAAATATAACGTGTTTACGTGTGTGTGGAATATCGACTGGAAAAGGAATTAAAATTCCATGAAACACGAGGATGCTAGCTATTTTAATGTTTGGACATTGTAGTCAGAATGTCATTTGTTTCATGGACACGAACATCATTACTGTTATCATCGATGTTGGTAGTCAGAAATTTCGTTGTTCAAATCGATCGAAACTAACTCGTTGTTACCAAAATATACTAAGGCCCAGTTTTTTGATTCGTAGTTAAAATAACCAATAGTCAATTTTGACAGATGTCAAATGACAAGTGGATAAAAATCGGAAAAAATGTTTTTCGAACAATGGTTAGCTTGACTTATAGTTCATTTTTAACTATTAGTTTACATTTTGTTATTATTTAACCATTAGTAGCAAAATTTAACAATTAGTAATTTTGACTACGAATCAAAAAACTGGGCCTAAGGCTGGCGCTGGGTTGTACCATCTTACTTTGACTTTAACATAATGTCAAAAATCTGTCAAATTCCATACAAAAAACACCGGTTATCGTTATAGTTACGGTCAAAGTTAGGTGGTGCAACTCAGCCTAAGTAAATACGGTTCTGAGAAGCTTTTATTTTCCTGGGTATTTTCTTTAAAAAAATAACTTGGATTTCCACTCACGTCTCTCCAAACACAGCTGAACCTGAAAGATTAAATGGAATAGATTAAATGACCCGTAAAAAATGAAATCCCGCCGCCCGAATGGGGATGTTGCCTGGGTCAAAAAGCAAGAGTTTTAATTAGTCCGTCAGTTAACTTATCAAAAAATACTCTACACGTATTTTTCACTTTTTCAAACTAATGAAAATTTAAAGAGATAAAGCGCCCCATAGTTCATAAGAAGAGGCCCGTGACGTCAACGCTTGCTTAAAAATGCCGCACGTTGTGACGTCGTGCGCAACTTCAACGCACCATAACTATGTAATTATTTGTTAGATTGACAAATAAAAATAAATGTGTCCAATATTTTTTGATATTAAACATTACGGACTAAAAAAATTTTTTTAGGCAACTAGCCTATTAGTGTCCGTGAGTTCCTGCGGGAGGATCGCTAGAGAACGATTCCGGGAAGTGGGGCGAAGAGATCCCGGAAGATAAACGAGCGATCCGGGATGACCGGGCCTCGTACTATTTGAACCGGGCATGCTTGAGGCGTTTCTAATTAAAGTATTTAAGGATTTGGCGATTGTCTGAAATGTATTTTCGGTACGTTTTTTTTTCTTTAAGAATGTTTTCCTTCTTTTTGCTTTGCGTTTCTAAAAGACGATATTTAGTATTTAACGTAGGTATACAAAGT